AGTGTTTTCTATTTCCATCCATTTGCATGCAAAATTCGAGAAGTCATTGTTTTTTACCGCTGAGTAGTACTCTAGTGTGTATATATTCCATACTTTCTTCATCCATTCTTCCATTGAAGGGCATCTAGGTTGTTTCCAGGTTCTGGCTATTACAAATAATACTGCTATGAACATAGTTGAACAAATGCTTTAGTCATTTGATAGAGCATCTCTTGGGTATATTCCCAAGAGTGGTATTGCTGGGTCCAGGGGTAGGTTGATCCCGAATTTCCTGAGAAACCGAAACACTGACTTCCACTGTCGTTGCACAAGATTGCATTCCCACCAGCAATGGATGAGGGTACCCGTTCTTCCACAGCCTCTCCAGCAAAGGTTATCCTTGGTGTTTTTGACTTTAGCCATTCTGACAGGTGTAAGATGATATCTCAAAGTTGTTTTGATTTGCATTTCCCTGATTGCTAAGGAAGTTGAGCACGACCTTAAGTGTCTTTTGGCCATTTGAACTTCTTCTGTTGAGAATTCTCTGTTCAGTTCAGTGCCCCATTTTTTAATTGGGTTAATTAACATTTTAAAGTCTAGTTTCTTGAGTTCTCTATATATTTTGGAGATCAGACCTTTGTCTGTTGCGGGGTTGGTGAAGATCTTCTCCCAGTCAGTAGGTTGCCTTTGTGTCTTAGTGACAGTGTCCTTTGCTTTACAGAAGCTTCTCAGTTTAAGTAGGTCCCATTTATTCAATGTTGCCCTTAATGTCTGTGCTTCTGGGGTTATACATAGGAAGCGATCTCCTATGCCCATCTGTTGTAGGGTATTTCCCACTTTCTCTTCTATCAGGTTCAGTGTGTTCGGACTGATATTGAGGTCTTTAATCCATTTGGACTTGAGTTTTGTGCACGGTGAGAGATATGGGTCTATTTTCATATTTCTGCAGGTTGACATCCAGTTGTGCCAGCACCATTTGTTGAAGATGCTTTCTTTCTTCCATTGCATACTTTTAGCTCCTTTATCAAAAATCAGGTGTTCATAGGTTTGTGGGATAAAATCCCGGTCTTCTATACGATTCCATTGGTCGACTTCTCTGTTTTTATGCCAGTACCACACTGTTTTCATTACTGTAGCTCTGTAATAGAGTTTGAAGTCAGGGATGGTAATGCCTCCAGAAGATCCTTTATTGTATAGGATTGTTTTGGCTATCCTGGGTTTTTTGTTTTTCCATATAAAGTTGATTATTGTCTTCTCCAGATCTGTGAAGAATTTTGATGGGATCTTGATGGGGATTGCATTGAATCAATAAATTTCCTTAGGTAGAATTGCCATTTTTACTATGTTGATCCTCCCAATCCAAGAGCAAGGGAGGTCCATCCATTTTTTGGTATCCTCTTCAATTTCTTTCTTCAATGCCTTAAAGTTCTTGTCAAATAGATCTTTCACTTCCTTGGTTAGATTTACCCCCAGATATTTTATGCTGTTTGTGGCTATCGTGAATGGTGAGGCTTCTCTGATTTCCCTCTCTGCTTCCATATCCTTTGTGTATAAGAGGGCAACTGATTTTTTGGAGTTGATCTTGTATCCTGCCACATTACTAAAGCTGTTTATCAGCTGTATAAGTTCTTTGGTGGAGTTTTGGGGGTCGCTTATCTACACTATCATATCATCTGCAAATAACGAAAGTTTAACTTCTTCCTTTCCAATTCGAATCCCCTTGATCCCATTATGTTGTCTTATTGCTATTGCTAGAACTTCAAGCACTATATTGAAGAGGTATGGTGAGAGTGGACAGCCTTGCCGTGTTCCTGAGTTAAGCGGGATGGCTTTGAGTTTCTCTCCGTTTAATTTGATGTTAGCTGTCGGCTTGCTGTATATAGCTTTTATTATATTTAGGTATGACCCTTGTATCCCTAATCTCTCCAAGACTTTTAACATAAATGGATGTTGAATTTTGTCAAATGCTTTTTCAGCATCTAATGAAATGATCATATGGTTTTTTTCTTTCAGTTTATTTATATGCTGGATTACATTGATAGATTTTCGTATGTTGAACCAGCCCTGCATCTGAGGAATGAAGCCTACTTGATCATAATGGATAATTTTTCGGATGGTTTCTTGGATTCGATTTGCCAGTATTTTGTTGAGGATTTTTGGGTCGATATTCATGAGTGAGATTGGCCTGTAGTTCTCTTTTCTGGTTGAGTCTTTGAGTGGTTTTGGTATCAGAGTAATTGTGGCTTCATAAAAGGAATTTGGTAATTACCCTTCTGATTCTATATTGTGGAATACATTAAGGAGTATAGGTATTAGGTCTTCTTGGAAGTTCTGGTAGAATTCTGCATTGAAACCATCTGGTCCTGGGCTTTTTTGGTAGGGAGGTTTTTGATAACAGCTTCTAATTCTTCGCGACTTACAGGTCTGTTTAGATTGTTCACCTGGTCCTGGTTTAGTTTTGGTAAATGGTATTTATCTAAAAAAGCGTCCATTTCTTTTACATTTTCCAGTTTTGTGGCATATAGGCTTTTGTAGTAAGATCTAATGACTCTCTGAATTTCCTCTGTGTCTGTGGTTATGTCCCCCTTTTCATTTCTGATCTTATTAATTTGCGTGTTCTCTCTCTTTCGTTTGATTAGTTTGGATAGGGGTTTATCTATCTTGTTGATTTTCTCCAGGAACCAGCTTTTTGTTTCATTGATTCTTTGGATTGTTTTCTGTGTTTCTATTTTGTTGATTTCAGCCCTCAATTTGATTATTTCCAGTCTTCTACTCCTTCTAGGTGAGTCTGCTTCTCTTTTTTCTAGAGCTTTCAAGTGGGCTGTTAAGTCTCCAATGTGTGCTTTCTCTGTTTTCTTTAGGTGGGCACTTAGTGCTATGAACTTTCCTCTCAGGACTGCTTTCATAGTGTCCCATAAGTTCGAGTATGTTGTTTCTTTATTTTCATTGAATTCAAGGAAGACTTTAATTTCTTTTTTTATTTCTTCCTTAATCCAGGTATGGTTCAGTAGATGACTGTTCAGTTTCCATGAGTTTGTAGGCTTTCTGGGGGTAGCATTGTTGTTGAATTCTAACTTTAATCCATGGTGATCTGATAAGACACAGGTGGTTACTAATATTTTTTTGTAACTGTGTAAGTTCGCTTTGTTACCAAGTATGTGGTCAATTTTCGAGAAGGTTCCATGAGCTGCAGAGAAGAACGTATATTCTTTCCTCTTTGGGTGGAATAATCTATAGATGTCTGTTAAGTCCATTTGCTTCATTACCTCCATTAATTCTCTTATTTCTCTGTTAGGTTTCTGTCTGATTGACCTGTCCATTGGTGAGAGAGGAGTGTTGAAGTCTCCTACTATTAGTGTGTGCGGTTTGATGGCTGCCTTGAGTTTTAGTAATGTTTCTTTTACGTACGTGGGTGCTTTTATATTAGGGGCATAGATATTCAGGATTGAGACTTCTTCCTGATGATTTGTTCCTGTTATGAGTATAAAATGTCCCTCTCCATCTCTTCTGATTGACTTAAGTTTGAAGTCAACTTTGTTAGAAATTAGTATGGCCACACCTCCTTGTTTCTTAGGTCCATTTGCTTGATAAGCCTTTTCCCAGCCCTTTACTCTGAGTAGGTGCCTGTCTTTGTGGTTGAGGTGTGTTTCTTGTAGACAGCAGAATGTTGGATCCTGTTTTCTTATCCAATCTCTTAGACTGTGCCTTTTTATAGGTGAGTTGAGCCCATTGATATTAAGTGATATTAATGACCAGTGGTTGTTAACTCCAGTCACTTTTTAAGTAGTAGGGTTTGTGTGTTTTCCTTCTTTGATTTGCGCTGGTGAAGAGTCTCTAGATGTCTGAGTTATTGTGGTCATTGTTGGACTCCTTGGTTAGTGATTTTCCTTCTATTATTTTCTGTAAGGCTGGATTTGTGGCTACGTATTGTTTAAATTTGTTTTTATCCTGGAAAATTTTGTTTTCTCCATTTAGTGAATGAAAGTTTGGCTGGATATAGTAGTCTGGGCTTGCATCCTTGGTCTCTTAGTTTTTGGAGAACATCTATCCAGGACCTTCTGGCTTTCATGGTTTCCATAGAGAAGTCAGGTGTAAGTCTGATAGGTTTACCTTTATAAGTAACTTGGCCTTTTTCCTTTGCAGCTCTTAATATTCTTTCTTTATTCTGTATATTTTGTGTTTTGATTATTATATGGCGAGGGGATGTTTTCTTTTGATCCAGCCTATTTGGTGTTCTGTATGCTTCTTGAACCTTCATAGGTACATCTGTCTTCAGGTTGGGAAAGTTTTCTTCTATAATTTTATTAAGTATATTTTCTGTACCGTTGAGCTGCACTTCTTCTCCTTCTTCTACTCCAATTATTCTTAGGTTTGGTCTTTTTATTGTGTCCCATATTTCCTGAATGTTTTGTGATGAGAGTTTGTTGGACTTGCTGTTTTCTTTGATCAGAGTGTTTATTTTCTCTATGTTATCCTCAGAATCTGAGATTCTTTCTTCTATCTCTTGTATTCTGCTGGTTATACTTGATTCTGTAGTCTCTATTCGTTTACCTAGATTTTTCCATGTCCAGACGCCCTCTGTTTGTGTTTTCTTCTTTGCCTCCATTTCAGTTTTCAAGTCATGAACTGTTTCCTTTATCTGCTTGATTGTTTTTCCTTGGTTTCCTAGGGTATCATTCACTGATTTACTCAATTCCTCGAACTTTCTATTATACTTCTCATCCATTTCTATAAGGGCGTTTTTTATATGCTGTTTAAGGGTGTCAATCACTTTCATGAAGTCAGTTTTTTCTACTTCTTCTTGATTAAGGTGTTCATGTCCTCCTGTTGTGGGGTCACTGGCTTCTGGTGGTTTCGTGTTGTTTTTCAGATTGTTGGGAGAATTCCTGCATTGGCGTCTGCCCATCTCTTCCTCCCAATACTCCCCTTTGTATCTTCTTTTATAGGATCAGGTCTTCTTGCCCACTGATGTACCTTCCCAGTGATGTCACTCCCCAAAGATGTTTCTCCACAATGATGTTTCACTGGGTGCCCAGAACGAAACTCCACGCTGCTTGGTTAGCTCGCGAACAAAGGGCCCACCCTGCTCGCTGCGGGCAGGCTATGGGAACAAAGGAGCTACCGGCCACCCCTATGTCCTCCCGGTTCAGATTCGGTCCCAGCACCCTAGCAGGCTGGGCAGGGAGGCGCTATGCCCCAAAGGAGGGAGGGAGACAGGGGGTGTGGGGATCTGGATGTAAGCTGAGTGGGATAGGAAGAGAGAGGGGGTTTGGGCAGTATAGCCCCTGTAGGATGGCCAGGAAGTGTGGGCGGGCTGAGGTATGATCCAAGCTGCCGCAGCACTCACTCACCACAATGATGTTTCACTCGGTGCCCAGATCGAAACTCTGCGCTGCTTGGTTAGCTCGCGAACAAAGGGCCCACCCCGCTCGCTGAGGGCAGGCTATGGGAACAAAGGAGCTACCGGCCACCCCTATGTCCTCCCGGTTCAGATTCGGTCCCAGCGCCCTAGCAGGCTGGGCAGGGAGGCGCTATGCCCCAAAGGAGGGAGGGAGACAGGGGGTGTCCAATAATCATTTTTTTTTCTAGTTTCCAAACTGCTACAAACATCATTACTACTGTCCATAGCGTCTTATGTTGGACACTGAATTTCCAGAACTATAAAAATAAACTCCTTATATTCAAGCAGCAGAGCTTGTGGTAATGTGTAAAGATAACACTGAATTCTTTTCCACCACTGTTTGAACACATCTGTCTCAGTCAGCAGGGGTACATATGCAGGTCCAGGGCTGTGTGGTGCAGCCAGCTGGTGAAAATGTCAGAGAGGTTTTTGTTGGAGGCTGAAGCACTGTGGGAGGATTACTGCGACCTTGCTGACAGTAATAATCTGCCACGTCTTCAGCCTGAACACTGCTGATGGTGAGAGTGAAATCTGTCCCAGATCCACTGCCTGTGAAGCGATCAGGGACCCCAGTTTGCCGAGTGGATGCATAGTAGATCAGTAGTTTAGGAGCCTGTCCTGGTTTCTGCTGGTACCAAGCCAAGGAGTTAGTACCAAAAAATAAAAGACTCTGACTGGACTTGCAGCTGATGGTGACCTTCTCTCCTGCTGACAGAGCCAAGGAGGATGGAGACTGGGTCATCACAATATCTGCACAGGCACCTGCAATCAGCAATAAAAATGATGATGTGTAATATGAAAAAATTGAATTTAATATCTTTGTAATATCATATCACATATTGTCAGAATATTATTGTGTAAGACAAATTCTATCATGACACATATTGTAAATATCTTATATACAAAGAAATGACTCTAAAAAGATTATAAAACTTTTGAATTCCTCACCAGACACCCAGAGCAGCAGGGACAGGATAACCTGGGTTTGTGACACCATGTTTATCCCCCTGCCTGTCAGTTCTCACTGAAATGGCTTGGTTTATAAATTCAAGGTGGTTGGACTGAGTTGGAGAAGCCTATGCAAATCAGTTAGCAAATATCTTAGAAAATGCATGGGCAGTGTGTGTGACTAGCTGGTGTCAATCAACAGGCAAAAATAACAACATGGGGAGTGTGAGCAATCACTGAATGATATTATCTTACAGTACTCAAACAGATATCTCTTAGGCACTCTAATGACAACTTTGGTTAAAAATTCACAATATTTTAAATTCAGTTTGCTTTGCAGAATGTTAGGAAAGCTGTCTAAGATTAACAATACTATGGAAGTGATAAATTATGTTCCAAAAAAATCACAACCAAAGGAACTTAGAGTTCCTTTGAAATTTGAAATTCAATAAAAGAAAGAAAAGATGGAGAAAGGAAAGAAGAATGACAGAGAGAGAAAATGGAGGTTAAATTTGTTCATGTTATCCTATTTTTAAAACTAAACTTAATAGAGGACAATGAACAGTGCCACCAACATTGTACTCCAGGTTCTAGACTTAAAAAAGTGCCTCCTAGAATTCTCTCAATGCAAATCCTGATGAGCTTTAAGATTAAGATGAATCTTAAACCCCAAGCAATGGTATATCCTGCCGAAACAAACAAGTGTCCTCTGCACAAATTAGGGAACTGAAACAAGATGATAAATTGTAGGAAATAGAAGAGGAAGAAAACAAACTTGATTTCTTTTAAAAATTCATTGTTTTAGACCAATACTTACCAAGAGTGTTTATTCCATAATGCATTTTATAAGATTACTTATGAATTAACAGTATTGTAAGTGGGTGAAAATAGTCTTTCTGACATAGTGGAACACTAAAAATCCTCTCCAGAAGGGAACACTGTTATCTTAAATCAAGCAGTAATTTTACAGAGATTAATTGAACAAGGTACCAGATATTGAAGCTATACAAAGAAAAAAAATATTTGGGTATGAATAAAAATTAGAAGCAATAACTTATTTCACAGAACATATCTGGACTTCAGGTTGGTGAACTCTTAAAGGACATATACGAAGTAAAGACAGTATTTTGTGTAAAGTACAAGACACAAAAATAAAGAAATAAAACGTCATGTCAAGATGTTGGGAAATATATCTTTAATCTTAGACCTGGAGAGACATAATAAGGAGAATTATATATTTGAGATCAGCCTGGGGCACAAGTTCTAGGCCAATCTAACCTGTGCATGGAGATGATCTTTCAAAATGTGTGTTATTAATCAAGTGCTTACAAGACACTTTAGGCATTTGATATCTAAATCAAAGTAGTTTTCTAATATTAACATTTTAGCATTAAGCCAAGATTATTATTGAAAATTAAATATACATTTAAGTATCATGTATTTTTCATTTATTTTCATTTATTATCTAATTTTATAAACCTACTTTTCATATATAAAATGTTAAATTATTTCTGATAAGCATATTCAGATTTCTTTGTCAATTTGTAACACCATCGTAAGAGAGAGATAAGCAACCTGTCAATTAATGAAATTCCCAAACTCAAGGTAAAAATAAGACAGTTTAGTAACTCTGCTTCAGGCGGTGTCTAAAAATATGACAGATGAATAAATGCTCCTTTCAGTGTCTAACAAGTTGTTCTATGCTCTCAATCTTTGCAGAACTTTGTGCTTTGTAACAGCTGCAATGAGATCAGACTGTGGTTTCATGCCATTTACCATTTATCATGCAAATAAAACACACGGAGACTGGGTCTTACAAATCCAAATGCTCCTGCAATTAAACATGTATTTTCACATTATATAAGGAGGGATCACAGAAAATAAAAGGACACAATATTCATGATTGTTTATGTATAGGAGAAAAACCAAAGAATGTTTAATTACTACTGTTTCCAAAAATCTAGTTTCCAACCTTGTGCATTAGAATCCTTAGGCTGTGATTAAATGTGAACTTACTACAAACCTACTGGTTGAAAACAACAGAGATTAATTTGTTCACAGCTGTGGAGCCAGGAAGACAGATGTCGATTATCTTGATCTCATGGAACACGGGACTATCTTCCATAGGCTCTACACTAAATAAATACCTAGGGAAGTCATATTTCATCCTCAAAATGAGCATAATGGCAGCTGAGGATCTTGCCATTTAATAAGGTGTAAAAGTCAGGCAATCTAAACAAAGAGTGATAAAGACTAAAGTGTAGCCCTCCCTACTTAGCTGATCCTCCTTCTACCACATCTTATTTATCCTTGGAATATCAGAAAATTTCCTAAAATTGTGTGAGAAGAAGAACATTAGAAAAACAAGTACAGGTTAGTTCGGTGCCCCATGGGAAACACAGCTTCATCCAGGCAAAACCTTAATGGGGCTTTCAGCTCCACCATCTTCAGCATGGCAATATGGAGGAAAAGAATAAACTTTTCCAATCTCTTCTAAATAAATAGTAAGGATGGAGGTAAAGAAAGCTGCTGAACATCAATAATTTGTGCTCTTCTGAAGTTAGTGACTTCTAGATGATCTTCTGTGGCTTTTAGTATCTCCCAACTTGTCACTGGGATAGAAACAAAACAAAATCATAAAAATCATTCATTTCAATGATGAATTAAAAGCAAATCATAAAACTGACTATAAATTGTGGTAAAACAGGACAGGAAGAACAAGCAGTATATGCTGCTGGAGGAACTGTAAACTGATATACAGTCACTGTGAACTTCAGTGTGGAGATACCTCAAGGAAACACGAAATTACAATATGATTTATTTACTCCTGCATTATGTATTTTCCAGAAGAAATGTAAATCAGCTTAAAAGAGATATGCTTCCACACCCATGTCTATTGCCGCACTATTCACAACAGTAAGAATTTAAATCAACCCAGTTGTTTATCAACAGAGGAATGGATTGTAAAAAGGTACAAATGTGAAAGAAAATTTATTCATCTATAATAAAAAAGAATCACATCAATTTGTTATTTTTTCTCTTTGGTTCAATATATACATTTGTTTGAGAAAAGACTCTTTGTTTATGTTGACATAATACTTATTTTTCTGTGTTTGGGAATAGAGTTCAACCAACATCTTGTGGTTCAGGCTGAATAGCAGTAATCTTGAGATCTTCTATACCCTTGATGATTTCCTTACTGCGTATTCACTAGTAATTCTGACCGTAATGGGACAAAGTAGATCAGTATTCTAATCCTGACACAAGTAAGAAAGTAATCATTCAAAACTTTGTGACGTGAAATTTCAAAAAAAAAAATTGTATCAACAAATTCACTGGTCAAGGGCTGGAGAGATGGCTCAGTGGTTAAGAGCATTGCCTGCTCTTCCAAAGGTCCTGAGTTCAATTCCGGGCAACCACATGGTGGCTCACAACCATCTGTAAAGAGGTCTGGTGCCCTCTTCCGGCCTGCAGACATACACACAGACAGAATATTTGTATACATAATAAATAAATAAAATAAATATTTAAAAAAAAACAAAAAAAAATTACTATATATTACTTACAAATTCACTGGTCATACAGTGAGATATTTTTAAGTATCCAAAACAGAATGCAGACTTGACAACACCTTGACTTACCTGTGAGAGCCTGAGAAGAAGACCCAGACACATTGTGCTCAGTTTGTAGGTACTGAGATTGTAAGGCACTGAGTTCATGATAACTGTTTGTGTAGCACTAGGAAAGTCATACAATACAGTTTCCCTCTCCAGAGCTAGGACTGTAATCTTGAAAAATTCAAAGATGTCCGGCAGAAGTTATTGCTAAGGATCATTTCTTTGAACTTTTTTACTTCACATGGGAAGGTCGCAAAAGCCAAAAGGAGGTTCATGAAGAGGTGCAGAGTTTCTTTGAACTAAAGTTTCCATCTTGCACTCCTGGATCTCTAGAGTCCTGTACCTGTAATGGGAGAGCAAGTAAAACCCAAAAAGGATCATAGGTATGGTGCCATGTAATTTATCAGTCAGGGTGAAGAGGCTGATGGGTTGCACACTGAGGTAGCAGTTTCAGTGTGACTGTCTGCTAAGTAGTAAATTCCAGGTCAGCTCAGGATATGTAGTAAGGAATTATATCCCTCCACCTAAGAAGACAGTAAAAACTGAAGGAAGGGAAAAGAAAATGTGGAAGTTATTAAGAAGAAAGATGTGAATATAGGATAAGAGTAAAGAAGAGCTCAGTAGTCTAAGCCTATAGATAAGCATCTGTGTGGACACAGAAATACTGATCAGGAGCTAAGCAGTAAATCAGCTGCAGGAGGGTGGCTTGTATGATCTGTTGAAGAGGGACTTTTGAAATCTTAGTAAAATAGATGTGGAAATGTGACATTAGGCTGAGGATGCCAACTTGTGTCTGCAAGACAACTAACAGTCTTCAATATTCAAAGCTCTTATATTGAGTGACTGAATAACATTTGCAATAAATTTTAAATGATATTTTAGACAATCTATTGAACTTAAAAACTGTGCTTTGAAATAGTAGCAGGTGGACATTTATTAAGGAGGAAAATTGATTTTTTTTTAAATATCCATGGTCTGACAAACACACTTGTTGGTTTAAGGAATCTCTCTTTCACAGCTTCACCCTTTTTATGAATAATCTTTCTAATATAAATCACATAGTGGAGATGTGTGGGGAAAGACCCAGGCAAGAGACAGAGCTTCAACAATACTGAGTCTTCTCACCTGAATCCTAGAACAGCAGTATCCAGTATGATGTCTTTGTATCCCGCTCTTTGCTGAAAGTATTTTCAGGTCTAAGAGTTTTCTGGTGAAGTTTGAGAATCTTTTAAATATAAGAACATATTATGTATAAAATTTGCTATTTAATTTCTTTGTTTACTACTTATATCTCATTTTTGATTATTGGCTTTTTTTCTGTGACTGAGATTTGAGCACTATATTGAATAAGAGTGAGAGAATCAGCACATTCCCTTTTCTCATTTGAGGTTTGTGAAGCAGGTTTCTTGTTTATACTAAATTGTGCATTTACTAT